ATGTACCTTGGCGTGTGTAGGAGGCAATCAATCGATGTGTTTCTTTAGCATTAATGTTTCTCTCTATCTTTCCCTCTTTCTTCCACTACCCCTTAAAAAAATCCATGGAAAAATAACATTGGGAGAGGCTTAACAAAACAAAAGGACCTGAAGGCCATGGTCTCTTCTGACTGGGAAATGTTTACATTTTACAAGTGAAGGATTGCTGGCTGCACTGGACTCTACCGTCTCCCCTCAGGCCTTCCCTGGTGTGCAGGTCATAGGTGAACTCTTTCCCAGATTTTCTCCGTGAAAGGCCACATTGTATTCTGGAGCTGATTTCAGGTAGGGTTTGAGTTCTGTGAACTCATATACATACCTTTCTTATTAGGTCAGAGGCTTATATCTTTTTCTATTAGATCATATATCAGAAATGGCTTTAATGACACGTGATTCTCAACAGAGTGTACATGTTCAGGTCATTTGAATAGATAGTGATCCAGAGTGTAACATGGAATTAAAGTAAGCTAAATGTAGCAAGAAAGTTCAAGATGAGTGGTTGTGTATGTTGGAGAGTGGAAATTTTTGAGCATGCTTCCAGAGAGGCCGTGGACTATTCCCCAAATAGAGTTGTCAGTGCTGATAACAGGCCAGGTCTTGAGATATGGTCTCATGGCCTCTTTCCAGCACATAGGCCTTCTTTCGTAGATCACTGTCAGCTTTCTGAAGAAGAGATGACCCTGTGAACAAAATGATCGTCAATGGCATGACTCTGATGTTGCTTGGGAAAAACTGTTTTGTCTTGGGTTACTTGTTCTGCAAAAACAGGATGTGGTTTATGACAAAGGGTCATAGCTGCTGCTCTCTGGTCTCCCTGCGTGGAGAATGGCAGAGCAGTCACCCGGCTAGTCGCTCACAGGGGTCCAGCTTGAATAAAGGCTCTTTGCTTTTGCATCGGACTCTGCTCCCTGGTGGTCCTTGGGGATCTTGAAATCTGGGCATAACAGTGTATATATCCAAGGGCAGAAGACAATGGTGCAGACTTGGAAGTCATATATGCCTGGATTTGACTTCTAGCTCTACAACATACGTTTTTCTCTAATCACTTTTACCTTTTTATTGATTCTCTATATTTTAAAAGCATTTTTTTCATGCTACCCCTCCTTATAATTTATATGATTTTTGTAATGATGACTTATCTTTGTTGCTTCTGTTGGTTGAATCTGTTATAGTCAATAGTCTTATTTTTCCCCTTCCCTTATTTCTCTAACCCTTTTACTTCTTAGTTTTACTTCCTAATTTTTTATATATTTTCTGGATTTTTTTACAGAGAGGAAAGGAGAGGGAGAGAGAGCTATAAACATTGATGAGAGAGAAACATCAGTCAGCTACCTTCTGCACACTCCCTACTGGGGATGTGCCCACAACCAAGGTGCATGCCCTTGACTGGAATCGAACCTGGGACCCTTCAGTCCACAGGCTGACGCTCTATCAACTGAGCCAAACTGGTTAGGGCTTACTTCCTAATTTGTTCCAATTTGTAACTTGTGCATTCTTAAGCACATGTCTTTCATCAATTCAGGAACTTTTTATTTCCAGCTTTAAATTTGGTTATTTTTTTCTGTTCTTTGGGTGGGCTTTTCTTGAATCACATCAAATATCAACATGTTAGCTTTCCATTGTCTGTCAAATATTTTCCAGTTCATTTTCATTAACAACTTGATTTTATACACAAATACATTATTCTTAAATTATTGAAGACACAATTTTTTCATCCAGTGTATAGCAACTTTATTCATGCATTTCCTTTTATTCTCTCCTTATTATGTCCGAGTACTGTTGCAAACAGGTCTTTTTAAATTTTTATTTATTTTTATTTTTAAAATTACAGTTTACATTCAATATTATTTTGTATTGGTTTGAGATGCATTTTCCCAAAGCTGAATGGTTGAGATTATACTCTGAAGAATTCTTGTTATCACTCTTGAAACTGTAAATAAAATAAAATTGAATTTAAAAAAACCCACACAGTACACAGCTAGTAAGTCATTTTGCATGCAACATGTGGACCAAAAAGTCTTGAAGATTTAGACTTTTTAAATGGAACGCCATCCTGCTTTTAGTCATCTACATGATCATACACCAAAGAACCATGCTGATTTTACTTAGTCGAGTTACATAAGAGTTGCAGAAAGATTCCTACTACAAATATTGACATGGGCCAAGAAATCAGTCATGCTAATTTGTGGGTTATAGGTAACTCTCAGAATAGAAGCATACATGTGGATTCCAATGCACACCTGACACGTTTGCCTTGGACCCCCCTCCAGCCACACCCCCCAACCCGACATTGCACCAGATACATTTGCATTGCAGCGATCCCAGTAAAATGATCTCCGTAGACTCATTGTCCAGGGTAATGGCATGCTAAGTACACTGTCAATTTCAAATGACTGAATAAGTCTTGGAACCGAAAGAGGACTGTTCCTGCTTTCTGGGGCCTGACAAGGAGATACATTATTCCCATTTTATAGATGAAGTAAATCGAAACCACATGTCAGGACTGTTGGAATGGCTTTATCGTAGATGTAGAGCTGTCCCAACAGCGATGCATGGAATCAAATGGTTCCTGTGAATATGGATGGCGTTGATTAAACAGGAGAAATCGGGTGATCGCAGAGATAGAGAAATGCACCAAGAAATGAGTCATGATCAAAACACATAGCTTAAGTAGTAAGACAGCAGTGCAAAATAAAACCCTGATCAGGAAACAAAGATCGGGGTATAGGGTGGGGCGACTTGGGTGGAAGAGGAAAAGGGTAAAAGGCTTCTCATTTTGATGGTACAGTTTTGGGGAAAAGAGCCATGCGTTCTACTCTGTCCCTGTCATGCTGCTTTTTGCTGCCACTATTATGGAAAGAAGCCTTTTGGGTACGGGTAACTTTCAGTCAACTAAGTCTGTGGTGGCAAGAGGAATAGGCTAACGAAGGTGGAGTCGCTGTGATCAGTAACTTTTATTTCCCTCCAAATGCAATGGCGGTGCCCGAGGTCCGGCCCCGGGCACAGTCACGAGGCCGGTGGGAGTCATCCGACCCCCTGTCCGGAGGGGGAGATGGTTTCCTGCAGCACCAGGTGCAGCAGGTGGTTCTGCTCGGCGCTCAGCAGCGGCCACAGCTCCACCTGTAGCGCCTTGATGGCCTCCGTGTCCTTCTCGTGGGCGGCCATGACCAGGGACTGCAGCAGCAGGAAGAGATCTTCGGGGAGCTGGCCGCCGCCCTCCTGGCCCTGGCTGTCAAACGCCTCCCAGGAGTACTTCTCCAGCGTGTGGGCGTGCTCGGGGAGCAGCTTGGCGGGCGGCGGCTGCAGGAGCAGCAGCAGCAGCACGCGGGACACCTCGCAGCGGACCGCGATGTCCGAGAAGGCGCCCAGCAGGGCACCAGAGGGCGCGGCCGCAAAGCCAGCATTCGCAGGGCGCTGCGAGGTGGACAGGGCTGGCACCACGCTGGGTCTGAGGTGGGGCCCCTGAGGCTGAGGCTGCATCAGGGGGTGCGACGGCGGCTGCGGCGGGGGCGGCGGCTGCAGCGGGTGGCTGCCGAGCTCCTGCGCCAGGCGCTGCATGCGGGTGAAGGTGGCCAGGGCGGCGTTGTGGTCCCGGGCCAGCAGCTGGCAGGAGGCGGCGTCGCCGAGCGCCTGCAGCGCGGCCAGGGGCAGCGGCGACAGCTGCAGCTGGGCGGCGCGCTGGAAGTGGCCGGCGGCGGCGGCCGGCTGGCCCAGGGCGCGCAGGGCGGCGGCCAGCTCCAGGCACAGCGCGGCGGCGGCGGCCGGCTGGCCCAGCTCGAGGTGCAGGCGCACGGCGGCGCCCAGGGCGCTGGCGGCCGCCTGCAGGGGCTCCCCGGCTGCGGCGGGGCAGGCGAGGCGCTGGCGGGCGTCGAGCTCCTGCTGCAGGAAGAGGCGGGCGGCCTCGGTGAGCGCCAGGGCCTCCCCCGGCCCGTGGAAGAGCTCCTGGTGGCACCGCGCCACCGCCAGCTGGCACCAGGCCGCGTAGGGCAGGCACTCCTGGGCGCGCAGCTCGCGGCCCAGCTGGGCGAACTGCTCGCCGGCCTCCGCCACGTTGGGCTTCCGCAGGAACCGCTTCTTCAGCTTGTTCGACACCTGCCGGTACCTGGCCAGGAAGTCCCCGGCATCCAGCCCCATCCCGGAAAAGCCACCCAGGCCGCTAGAGGACGCCGCCATGTTCCCAGCCCGAGCGCTTCCTCTGGGCGGACTTCGTGGGTGCAGGCAGCTGACAGCGACGTGCCCTGCGTTCCGCTCTGGCCTCCCTCCCACGGAGCAGGCACCAGTGATGCACGCCCTGGCGTTGCCCTGGTGATATGTAAATGTAGGGCGCCCTGGGAGGGGCCTGGTCTAGAACAATGAGTTTAGACGAATCACAGATCCTGGGGCGGGGCCTGGTCAGGTGCCCTCTGTTGCTAGGTGACAGCATGTTTACCCAGGTTGCTAAGGGTGTCTCCAGCATCTCTAAGGGAACAGGACCAAAAATAAACTGGTGATGCTCATTCGCTCATTCTGATTTTGCGTCTTTCTCCTTGTCCCCTCCTCCCGTTCACTCCTCAATCTTCCTGTCAAAGGCCTTGTAGATTCCATGCCAACCACTCCGCCCACCCCTCCGTTCTGCACACGGGTTGGCATGGCCCCCTCACCCTATCACGAGGCCTGAGTCATGGTCTTGAGCTCCACCCCAGCGAACACCAGCCTCCAGGGGGCGCTGCCAGGCTCTGACTTGCTCAGAGGGTATGGGGAGGTTTCCATACCCCAGTCCACCCCACCCCAGCCGGCCTCTCCGGCCCTGGACCACCCTGCACTGTCACCATGAGGGGCTGCTCCTCCCTTGTCATCCCAACTCTGCCCCAGCTCCCAGGGACACACCACCAGCAGCCCCATCCCTCCAACCCCCCCACACAGTGACTGAAGCAGGCACATGGGTTTCCTTCAATACTTTATTTATTTAAAATAACTTTCAATAACTGTGCCCAAGGCGCCAGCAGGCCCGGGCCGCCTGGGCTGTGAGGGGTGGAGGCCTGGGCCCCCGGGTCATGTTGGGAAGCTACTGCATTCCCGGGCTCATGACGGAGATGGTGATGTTGTCGAAGAAGCCGCTGAGCAGCGCGTTGTTGTGGATCGCCATGTCCAGCAGCTGCGGGGTGATGCGTCGGCAGCCCATCTTCTGGGCCTCGTTGCCCGCCAGCTCCAGGACGGTGGCCGTCAGGTCCTGGATGATGGCCGCCAGGAACACGGGCGCGTTGGCGCTGAGGCGCTGCGAGTAGTGGCCGTCCAGCAGGCGGCGCTCCAGCTGGCTCACCGAGAAGGTCAGGTCCGCTCTGGCGGTGCGGCTGCGGGTGCGTCTGCGCCTCTGGTGATCAGAGGGCCCTTCCCGGCTCCTCTGCCCGGACATGGTATCGCTGGGGTGCGCTGTCTCCGCCCCGTCTAGCGCTGCGGTGGGCTGTGGCGTGGTAAGGTGCGGCTCAGGCCGGTCAAGAAGGTACCAGTTGGTCGCAACCGCTCAAAATGGCGGGTACAGCGGCTCCTGCTCTGTCTCCTAGCGACCACGGGCCGGCCCCCCATTGGTCCAGGGACAGGCTGTGTGATACATAAGTTCGGTGAGGTCACTGCCTTCCCATTGGCCCAGGCCTGGGCCCGAGCCTGGGCCCGAGCCTGGGCCCGAGCCTGGGCCTCGGCCTGAGCCTGCAGAGAAGGGATGCTGGCAGCTTTCTATGCACCCTTGCCCATGGGTCCTTCTCTATGAGGTCCACTGTCTACTGGACAGGAATGTTCTACAGAAAAAGCACTGCAGTGGCACCAGGCATAACTAGTGATGTTCAATAGTCAACACAACTATCTACTTCCAAAATGTTGGAACTGCCCCCAAAAGAAACCCTGTACCCAATCAGGCAGTCACTTCCCACTGCCCTCCCCCTCTATCCAGCCCAATACCCCTTCTACTCCTCCCCTAGACCCTGGGCAACTATGAATCTGCTTCCTGTCCATTGAGGCTTGTCTATTCTGGAAATTTCTAGAGATATAATCTTAGATAATAGGTGGCTTTTGTGTCTGCCTACTTTCACTTAACATAACGGTCTCATTATGGTTCACCCAGGTGGTGGCATGGATCAGCCCTCCATTCCCTTTTCCTGGCTGAAAAGTATTCCATTGTGTGGGTGGACTGCATGCTGTGCATCGGTTCCTCGGTGGATGGGTGTTTGGGGAATTTCCACCTCCTGGCAGTTGTGCCTAGTGCAGCGGTGAACATTCCTGCACACGGTTCTGTTTGAACACCTGTCTTCAGCTCTTCTGGGTGTACATCTGGGAGTGGAGTTGCCAGGCCATATGGTAATTCCATGTTCACGTACTGAGGAACCGCCCCACTGATTTCCATAGTGACTGTTCCATTGTGCACTCCCCACAGCAGTGTCTGAGGGCCCCAATTTCTCCACATCCTCCTCAAAACTTATTCTCCTCTTGTTTTGCTTCTAATGGCCACCCCAGGGGGTGTGAAGTGGTATCTCATGGTGTTGATTTGCATTTCCCTGATGGGGAGTGATGTTGATCACTCTATCTTGGGCCTCTTGGTCATTCCTACATCTGCTTCCTGCACAGCAGGTGTGCTTTCAACTCCTTTGTCCATTTCCCACAACTGGGCTGCTTGTCTTTCTGGTGCTGAGTCTTAAGATTCTTGATGCGCTTGGGAAAGTAGGCCCTTATCAGACATATGATTTGCAAATGTCTCTCCCATTCTGGAGGTGGTCCTTTCCCTTTCTAGGTAGAGTCCTTTGATGCATAAAAGTTTAGTATTTGGATGATATACAATTTATCTTTTGTTTTTTTTCTTTGTCTTTTGTGGCTATGATTTTGCTCTCATATTTTGTAACCATTGCCTAATCCAAAGTCATGGGGATTTGCACCTAAGTTTTATCTCAAGAGTTATATTGTTTCAGCCCTTAACTTTAGGTCTGTGGTCCATCAGATTTAATATTTGTACCTGGTGTGTTTTGGGGGTCCATATTTATTCTTATGTCTGTGGATATCTAGTTGTCCCTGCACTTTTCTTTTTATAAAGATTTTTCATTCTTCCATTGAATCGTATTGGTACCCTTATTGGAAATCAATTATTTATACATATGTGAGTTACTTATGCCTCTAAATTCTAAAACATTGACTTACAATGGGCCTATCGTTATGCAGGGCCACACTTTTAGGATTGTTATAGCTTAGTAGTTAGCACTGAAATTGGGAAGTGAGAGTCCTCCCACTTTGTTCTTCTTTGTGAGATTGTTTTGGCTCTCTGCATTCCTTGCATTTCCATGTGAATTAAAGGATCAGCTTGGCAATTTTCACAAAGAAGCCAAGTTAGATTGTAACAGGCATAGCACTGTGTCTGAATATTGCCTTGGAGACTGTGGCCATCTTCGCAATATTAAATGCTAACATGGGATGCCTTTCCATTTATTTCAGTCCTCTTCCATTTCCTTCAGCAACGGTTTGCAGTTTTCAGAGTACAAATCTTACATGTCTTTTGTTAAATTTATTCCTCAGTATTGCATTTTATTTTGGATGATACTGGAGAAGTATTTTCTTAACCTCATTTTTGGATTGTTCTTTGCTAGTGTATAGAAATACAATTGATGGTTGCACATTGATTTGGGCTCCTGCAACTTTGCTGAGCTCCTTGATTGCATAATTGAATAAACTGTTGTGTTTTAGTATATTCTTTAGTGTTTTATATGTATGTATATATGTATGTATATATGTATGTATATATGTGTATCCTATATAATAGAAAGGTAATACGCAAATTGACCCTCATACCCTTGTGTCACAAGATGGATGCTCCCACGTTGTCACAAGATGGCTGCCCCCACATCATTACAATATGGCCGCCCCCATGTCATGACAAGATGGCTGCCCCCACATTGTCACAAGATGGCTGGCAGGGGAGGGCAGTTGGGGGCAACCAGGCCTGCAGGGGAGGATGGTTGTGGGTGATTAGGCCAGCAGGGGAGCAGTAGGCATCAATCAGGCCAGCAGGGGAGTGGTTGGGGAGTGATCAGACTGGCAGGCAGAGCAGTTAGGGGCAATCAGGAAGGCAGGGAGGGGAGCAGTTAGGAGCCATCAGTCCTGGATTTTGAGAGGGATGTCCGACTGCTGGTTTAGGCCTAATCCCACAGAGAGGATGCAGGCCTGAGGGGTCCCAGATTGGAGAGGGTGCAGGCTGGGTGGAGGGATGACCACCCGCTCATGCATAAATTTCATGCACCAGGCCTCTAGTATATATATGTGAACATGTCTGTGAATAGAGATAGTTTTACTTGTTCCTTTCAAATTGGATGTCTTTTATCTATTTGGTCTGGCACAACTTTGAGCACAATGTTGCATAGAGTGTCAAGAACAAACATTCTTATCTTCTTCCTGATGCTTTGGGGAAAGTACCCAGCCTTTCACCATTGTGAATGGGATGCTCTTTATCAGAATGAAGAAATCCCCTTCTATTCCTATTTTGTTGAATTTATTTTCATAAAAGGGTGGTGGATTTTGTCAAATGCTTCCCTTCCCCCTACATCTATGAATAAATGAGCATGACATTCCCACACCCCCTGTATTCTATTAGGTGCATTATATTAATTGACTTTCATATGTTACACTCATGGGAGAAATCCCACTTGGTCATAGTGTATAACGAATGGTCCACACACTTTTTGTTGAAAGCATAGGTGCAGACCAGGCAAACTTCTTGATAGCAAGTGTGTGTGAGAGAAGAGATCTGTACCATGACGAGAAGCTGAGGCATTTGGGGGGACCTGCAATTAGTTTACTAATACTGAAGAGTAGGGTGCCAATGGGAGCATGGCTGTTGATGTGGCTAGAGTAGAGGCTGCAGGAGCCAAGACACATAGGTCCTGGTCTGCTATTCTCTGGTTTCTAAATACCTTGTAGGTGATTATGAGCTCACTGTGGTCATTAAGCTATGGAGTGGCATGACCTGATTTGTTTCCAGAAAACTTATTCTGGCAGCTTATTCAGGATAGAGAGGACTGAGATTGAAGTTAGATAGCTACTGCAGTAACTTAATCAAGAAATGATAGACATTTTAACTAAGATGATGGCATTGGTAAATAACTCCAGGGGACAAATTCAATTTAAAAGATAATTTGACTGACAGATCTCAGAGGGGAATAGGTTGGGGGTTGGAGGAGATTAAGCAAAGAACATATATGCATATATGTATAGCCCATGGACACAGATAATCGGGTGGTGAAGGCCTGGGTAGGGCATGTGTTGGGTGGAGGGGTAAAGGGGAGGAAATGGGGGACATCTGTATTACTATCAACAATAAAAATAATAATTTAGTTAGTAAAATGATACATAATAGGTGCTTAAAACATATTTATGACACTGTTGACCTTAGCTGGAGACTTGGTGATTCTTTTATTCCCTTCAATATTTATTGGATGCCTACTATATGTCTGGGACTGTGGTAGGCATTGAGGAAATACTGATGAACAATGTACATCAGGTTCCTGCATGTAGTATGATGAAAGATAGATATACAAGGAACCTGACAAATAAAACACTGTATTGTGATAAGTGCTATAAAAAGGGAAGTTCAAGATGCTATAGGAACATTGAGGAATAACTTACATGGATTTTGCTGTTTGGGACACATTCCTGGAGACATTAGTGTCCAAGATGAAGAACAAATAGAAGTTAGCTGAGTGAAAAAGTAGAGCATTAGTGGAGGAGCGGGGGAGAAAGCTCTGGCATAACTCCTCGAATACAGGGTGAGATGACTATGGATTTTTGGAGCCATTACTAGAGATATGGGCTAAAGATGAAGATCCTGGTATTGGTTGGAAGATGAGTTTATTTGGAATATGTCAGTTTGAGATGCCTGTGTGATATAGAGATGGAGATGAAGGATAAATGGTGTGGGAATTAAAGAGAGAGAGGGGGGTCAGGGTGGAGATATAGATTTGGGATTCATTAGGATAATTTTAGTGGACATGATGTAGTGAGATCATACAGGGAAAGTATATAGAAGGGGACCAAGGATGACTTCTTTTAAGGGGGGCTGGCAAAAGAAGAAAATTCTTGGAAGGAGACTGAATGAGTGTCCTCACAGAAAATAAGAGAGGACTGAGAGGTAATCAAACCAGAAAGAAAAGAGCAAGGGGTCAGAAAAAGACAGATTTCATCCTAGTCAGCTTGGCTCAGTGGATAGAGCATCGGTCTTAGGATTGAAGGGTCCCAGGTTTGATTCTGATCAAGGGCACATGCCCAAATTGTGGGCTCGATCCCCAGTAGGGGCATGCAGGAGGCAGCCAATCAATGATTCTCTCTTATCATTGATGTTTCTATCTATCTCTCCCTTCCTCAGTAAACAATATATATTTAAGAGAGAGAGAGAGAGAGAGAGAGAGAGAGAGAGAGAGAGAGAGAGAGGGAGAGAGATTTCCTTTGGAGTCTTCTATTTTCCATCTTTTTTTTCATTTTGTCTACCTTGTCCATGAGAGTCCTTAACATAGTAATCATAGTTGTTTTTTAGTTTCCCACACCCACGTCATATGTGAACCTAGTTCTCATGGTGCTTTGTCTCTTCAAATTGTATTATTTCTTGCCTTTTATCATGCTTTTTAAATTTTGTTGTTAAAGGCCAGGAATGCTGTATAGGACAGTAGATTCCGAGGTGAATAGAACTTCAGGGTGAATATATCAGTCTGGCCAAGAGATGGAGTCTATCTGATGTTTGCCTCTATGAGTAACAGAGGCAGTAAATTTACCTAGTGACCTTGTTTTTGTCTCCCTTTCCCTTTGTGCTGCACATCAGAGACAGCCTGCCTCCTGCAGTTCTCTTAGCTGGAGCCCACTTTTATTTTAACTGGAGGAATATTAGTTGGTTGTATTGTGTGTGGGAGGAGGACATTCTCAAATCTTTGGATTATGTTTCAATCTTTGGAGTGAATAGTGAGCTTATGTCTTGGGAGTGTGGCCTTCACAAATGTTTTTGTCCCTTTCTCAGGTGTTATGGTTTAAACTGTATGCCCCCAAAAGATACGTTAATATCCCAATTCCTAGCACCTGTGAATAAGACCTTATATTTGGAAATAGGGTCTTTGAAGGTAACCAAGATAAGCTGAGGTCATATTGGATTAGGGTGGCCCTGAACCCATCAATTGATGTCCTTGAAAGGAAAGGGAGATTTGAAGGCACAGAAGAGACACAGGGAAGAAGGCCACGTGATGATAGAAACAGAGAATTTAGTGATGTTGCCACAGGCCAAGGAACATGAAGGATTGTCGGCAGCCCCCAGAGTAGGTTTAATGATAACCAGAATCTAGAAGAGACAAGGAAGATCTCTCTCCCAAAGTCTTTGGAGGGAGCATGGCCCTGCCAATGCCTTGATTTCAGATTTCTAGCCTCCAGAATTGAGAGAGAGTAAATTTATGCTGTTTTAAGCCAACTAGTTTATGGTAATTTGTTATAGCAGTGTTATGAAACTAATACACTGGGATAAAGCTTTCCCCGCTCTTCCACCTAATACTTCTCCTGGTGGTAGCATTTCCAGTCTATGACTTTGAACCTCTCTCTTGTACAATGAGGCTTTCTTTTCTTTCCCATTTTTCCTTACATGATACAGGGAGATAAGAATGGGGCTGGAACAGCGTTCCCTTTTCCTAGTTGGGATGACATTTTATTATTGCCCAAATTATTTTTGTCTTTCTTGCAACCTGTAGGATAACCTTGGAAATAAATGGCTAGAGCTCCTCAGAAAGTATTTTCAGTGTACATGAAAAAAGTATCTTGTTATTTCCTCTAGATGTGTGAGATCATGTGATCCAAGAAATACCCTTGTAAGAATCGAAACTGAGACAAGCTATAATGGTTATGCTGAGAGGCAAATGAATCAGTCTGTAGTGAGTTCCTTTCTGGGCTCAAACCTCAGAGGGAAGGCAGGGGAGGATAGGGTAAGGGGGAGAGATCAACCAAAGGACTTGTGTGCATGCATATAAGCCTAACCTGTGGCCATGGAAAACAGGGGGGTGGGGGCATATGTGGGGAGGGGTTTGAAATGGGAATGGGGGGATGAGACAATTATGTGATACCATAATCAATTTTAAAAAAAGAAATAAAAAAAGAAACATTAAAAAATCATCTGTTATTGTAAAATTGTATGAATATATTGAACACTACTGAGCTGTACACTTAAAAATAGTTATGTTAAATTTTATATTTTCATCACAATTAAAAAGGAAGTGTTTTCCTCCACACATCTTACCAAAATCATCTCCATGTTGTCGTCAAGCACAATTCAGAGGCTTGGAGTCTGTATGGTGTCAATGGATGGTTAACGGAAGTAAGCTTTTGAAATTGGGCTGTTGAAGGGCCCAATGAATGACTCTTTCTCTCAGCAGGTCCTGGATCCTGCTTTGCAGGTAGGAAAAACTGTGGCACATCCTAAAAAATTCAATAATCAGAAGAAAGAGTTAGTAACAACATATGATAACTTTTATGAGCCCAAGGGAATAAGACTACATAAAAAACTGGGTAAAAGAATAGATTTCGTATCTCAACTACACAGGATTAAACATGGAAGACATTCTAAATAGCTAAGCATAAGTGATCTATAACCATTGCTTCTACTTATTCACCAGCCATTCTGATTTTATGCCTTGCAATGTTGATTCTACCCCACTATCTAAGAAGTGGTTCTTTTATTTACTTTTAATGTGTATTGAATTTATTGGGATGGCATTAGTTAATAATATTATATGGGTTTCAGGTGTACAATTCTATACTACATCCTCTATATATTGTATTGTGTGTTCATCCCCAAAGTCAAGTTTCCTTCCATCACCATTTATTCCTCCTTTACCATCCTCTATCTCTCACCACCCCTCCTCCTCTTAGCTCTGGTAATCACCTTAATGTTGTGTGTCTATATTTTCCCATTGATATTTAGGGAGAGTGGAAGAGAGAGGGGAAGACTGAGAGAAACATTGATGTGAGAGATACACATTGATTAGTTGCCTCCTTCACGTGCCCCAACCAGGGCACCAACCAGGGCCCAGGCTAGGGAGGATCCTGCAACCAAGGTACATACCCTTGACCGGAATCAAAATCAGGATCTTTTGGGCCACAGGCCAACACTTTAGCCACCTAGCCAAACTGGCTAAGGCTAAATTTCATTAATTTTAACCTTCCCACCACATATAAGCATTGGTTTGCAGGTTCCATCCTTCTGGGCTTCTTCACTTACAACAGTATTGATTGCCCTCACCCTGGCTTCTTGGAGCTTTCTTTTCCACTGATTGTGATTGTGGGCAAGTTACTTAAACTTCCAGTGACTCCATTTCCTGTTTTGTAAAATGAGGACAATAATAACACTTCCCTCCTGGGTTTAATATGAGTGCTAAAGCTCTTAGACCTGTGTCTGTCCCATACTAAGACCTATGTATATTAGCTGCTATCATCATCATTATAATTATTATGTTTGTTGTTAGGAATAAACTATATTTCTTGATAAGCCTGCCTAGAGTCCGGAACTCCCTGAGTGTGATGGTTTCAGAAAGCTTAATAAAACAACGTTATTTGGATAAAACCTTAAAAGCAATTAATTTGTCTTGTGGGAAAAGAGAAGACATGAAACTGCAGAGAAGCTGAATGGCGCTTTATATGAACCTTGTCCCTAACACCCTAAGGTCACTAAACCCACAAAATGCTATTTTTTTGGTATGTTTTTATTGATTTAAAGAGATGGATGGAAGAGGGATAAAAAGACAGAAACATTGATTAGAGAGACACATTGATTGGCTGCCTCCTGCATGCCCTGCACTTGGGATCAAGCACACAATCCAGGAATGTGCCCAGACCAAGAATAGAACTAGGGACATTTTGGTGCATGGGTCAGTGCTAACTACTGAGCCACACTGTCCAGGTGCAAAATGCTAATATATCTCTACTTATCACCATCTAAATGCATGTATGTGTGATGTAAGCTGATGAACGGACTAAATTTTATGTTGATGTGGGATGAAACCAATCACATACCAGAGGCTATAGCTAAAGACATAATACAATAGAATTTGCTGATGACTAAGGGAATGTTCTGAAATAACTGGTTTGGAAATCAAGAGCTAAAGTCAAATTTATGGAGAGTTTATGGGTGGTTGCAAGGAGCAGAGCATAAAGTGGCCTCTGCTGATATGTGGGTTATATTTATTTTTTCCATAGACTCTTGTTTCCCAAACTCCTACCTATGGGTATTGTCTATTACAGAGGCTATCAAACTACTGTCCATGCCTATTTTTATATGGCCTACAAGCTAAAAATGAATTTTACATTTTTAAAGGGTTGTAAACAAAAATAATGAAGAATATGAGACCAAAACCACATGTGACCTCCAAAATGTACAATATTTCTTAGCTGGGCCTTCAAAGAAAAATAAAATTCCAACCTCTGGTCTAATGTTCAATTCTTAATCAAATACTCTTATCCTGTTATATTGTATTACTCCCCGACCCCAAACCACTCTTAAGCAAGTATATTAATTCATTTATATTCATTACTTCACCCAATACATATTACTGAGCATTGGAGATATAAACATAAATAAGTCAGCAATCCCAGCCACCATTCAAGAACCTCACAATATAATGAGGAAGAAAGACAAATATGTGATTACCAATACTATCTATGATAGTTGTAAGCACAGAGTACAGTGGAAAAGTGCAAAGGAAAAAGCAGTTGACTATGCCTGGCAAAACTGGGAGGACTCCATGCTATCAGAGTTCTTTTTTTAAATATTTATATTTTGTTGATTTTTTTACTGAGAGGAAGAGAGAGGCATAGAGAGTTTGAAACATCGGTGAGAGAGAATCATTGATCAGCTGCCTCTTGCACACCCCCTACTGGGGATGTGCCCGCAACCAAGGTACATGCCCTTGAACGGAATCAAACCTGGGACCTTTCAGTTCACAGGCCGACACCCTATCCGCTGAGCCTAACTGGTTTCAGCACAATGAGAGTTCTTTGTCCTCATCTCTGTAGGCCTGCAACTCACAAGAGCCAATGACCCTGATAGACTTGGTAGCAGTTCTCTTTCTGTTGGATGTGCATTCAGGAGTTAGTGGGGTTTTCGATAGTTTGATGCTAGTGTTTGGCTTGAAGCAATAAGCCTGGCTTTTGTGCTTCATCTTACTCAGAGTGCTTTTGGAATGTTATACTCTGCAGGAGCTCATCTTCTTGCTATCAGCATTTGCTTCCAGTCTACAAAGCCTGCCAATTCAACACAGACAATTTTTTTTTGTCTTGGCCGTTCATTTTTTATTTTACCTGTTAATGTTTTTTTCCCATCATTGCCATATGTTTGGAGTGGCAGGCTTTCCATAGTATGAACTCACTGTTCCATCTCGATTGGAAGTCAATCAATGTAAATCTTTCCCATGTGGATTTTACTCTTCCCTATATTTGCTCAAACATTTAATTAACTTACCTCTAATGCAGGGCCAGACCAAATGATTCCACGGACATTGTACTGCTTGTGGGCTGGATATTCCCCACGTCTGACCTAAATGATGCTCAAAACCCATCTACTACATTATATCTCTACTTATCACCCTCTAAGTTCAGGTCCACTATTATTTCTCACTCAAAGACTGTAATAGACTTCTAATTAATCTATCCATATACACACTTACCTTCAATTCAAACTGTTGTGCACACTGTAGAAAAACAGACATGTCACTATGTCATTCCGTTTGAATGGATTGCTAAGGCTTTCAGGGTACAGACCAGTTTCCTTATCATGTTATGCAATGCCTTCCATTACCTGGTCCTGAGCTACTTCTCAGCCTTACTTTCTGCTATTTATGTCTTTGTACAATATTGCTTATAGTTTCCCAGGTCCACTGAATGCTTTCATGATTCTAAGAAACTCATCTTCATGTTCTTTATTCCCTCAAACTGGAAGCCCTTCCTACTCTACCTTTCATTCATCCTCAAGAATCATCTCCTCTAAGAGGTCTTCTCTAAACTCCCTAAATAAACTAGTATCTCTTTTGTTCTCTCATAATACTGTCTATGTCTCTATCTTCCTTCTTAATACATTTTGCTAAAATTATGTCTTTATGTCTTTCCTCCTAGAAATACTTATATGCTCCTCAATAGAAAGACATATGTTTCAATAATCTTTATACTCTAATATCTAGAATGGTTTCTAGACATAGTAAAACTGCATAAATGTTTGTGGGAATTGGATTAAATTACTTTTCTTCCAGCTTTGTAGTCTCTTTAAATCTGTTAAGATGCTTGTTCCGAATCTTTACTTCAATAATAAAAATATTACTAGGTCAAGCTAAATGTAGGTTTGAAACAGCCTATCAAAACTCTTCCTTTGCCTGTGGTCTGTTAATTGTTACTCTTTGAGTATGATAATAACTTAATTAATTAATACACAATTTTATTATCTAAACCATCAATATGGGTTCATAATTATTTTTCATAAGTGTGTCATAAAAGATGTGTTAAAATCTTGATGAAATTATATTTGGGTGGAATGTCTTTGTTGATAACTTTGTAACTTTCCAAGTACTCACTTACTTAAAAAGTCTTCCTTCTTTTTCTTTGTTATAAATGGTAATGTATTTACATTAACAGTCTTTTTTTTTTTTTTTTTTTTTTGCTTTAAAACTTCTGTACTTTATTTGGAACCCATAATTTTATATCAAGGCAAACTATCAATCAAGGTAAGGATAAACTAAGACATTTTTATTATTATTGAGGTCACATTGGTTTATAACATTATGTTTCAGGTGTACAACATTATAATTTGACATCTGTGTACTCATTAACCAAAAGTGTAGTTTCCATCTATCACCATATATTTGATTCCTTTTTCCTATTTTGGCCTATTATACCCCCATTCCCCACTAGTAACCACCAATATGTTGTCCATATATATGAAAATGAATTTGTTTTTATTTTGTTTTGATTGTTTATTTTTTGTTTGTTGCTTATTTCAAATATGACTGAAGTCATATGATTTTTGTCCTTTTCAGTCTGATTTATTTCACTTAGCATAATACTTTCAAAATCCATCCCTGTTGTTAAAAAATAGTACTACTTCACCCTTTAATTCCATTGATCATTAAGAAGAGTTTAACAATATCATCTGAGTTGCAACTTACCCAAGACACATGTACTTTTTCTTTCTGAGAACATAGTTAAAATGTTGTTCTTATTGTTTTTACAATATTTATTCAAGCCAGAGATAAGTTGGGGCCTTATTTTTCTAAATACTAATCTTTTAGGCACATGCAGCCTGTTACAGTGTTCTTCTTTTCCATATATAATATTATACTTTTAAAAAAGGAACTATGAGCTCATTGTAAAACTTCCTATGCAGTCCCATGGTTTCACTCATTTCTTTTTTAATAGAATAATTTGCTGTTTCATAGTCAAAATTATGTTTTTGAGAGCATCCCAACCTTAAGGTCTAAAGCCATCTTAATGTAAATTAAGGTCCAACAAGTATCAATCACAATAACAAACTTTTGGAGGCCAGCCATATCTAGAAATTCTAGTCAGAGTAGGCAATTACATAATAGGTCAGTCTGAATCTTTTCATGGTTATTACTAAGGAAGAAGCATTACCTCTTGAGGGGCTTAAAGCCAAGAGTCCATTTAGCTCCTGTCAATTTTTCCTTCCAAATGTCTCTCAGATTTGTCCTTCTCTTTCCATTCCTATAGATGCCTTCATCACTTCATGCCTGGACTACTGCCATAGATGGTTTCTTTGCCTCCAGTCCATCCATATTCCCATCCACTTTCCATAATATTGCCAGATTAATCTTCTTAAAACACTTTCATCGTGTCACTCTCCTGCCTGAGACCTAGCTCTAATGTCACCTTCTTTGTAAAATATTCCTAACTCCCCTAGGAAGAGTTAGCAGCTGACTACTTGGTGTTTTCACAGCTCTTTTTGCATTCTCTTACTAGTACACTTACAACACGTATAATAATTGGCTGTTTATTTTTCTTTCCCCATTTGGTGAGAGCTTCTAGAGGGCAGGCAAAAGGATTAAGTCATCTCTTTACAATGACACTCAAATCTTTATATAATTGGCCTTATTGATCTTGCCCCCACTATCTCAAGGCCTTCACGAATGTTGTTTCCTCTGCCAACCATGTTGTCCCTCTCATTCTTTTCCTATTCAGTTTCCAGATCTCAACTAGAAATTCATTTTAAAAACCTTCCCTGACATCCTTATTAACTAATTAACTAGCTAATCAATTCATTTAAGAAATATTTATTAGGTGCCAACTTCCTGCCAGGCACTATTTTAGGCCCTTTGCATAGATATATCAGTGAACAAAACAGACAAATTTCCTGTTTTTATGGAGTTTATCTTCTACTGGGAGAAGGTAGACAATTGAAGATAAAAAACATAAAGGAAATTATATAGTATATTAGAAGGTAATAAGAGCTGCAAAAAAACCAGCAAAGTAAAGGTGTATACTCTTAAATAGCAGACTTTTGAACACGGTGGTTAGGGTAGAGTTCATTGAGAAAGGTGATATTTGAACAAAGAGGTAGTTTGTCATGAAAATATCTGGTGCAAAGTAGATCAGTGTAAAGGTACTAGTCTGGGTGTATCTATTGTTGCCAAAAAACAGTATAAAAAGCAGTGTGGCCCAACCAGCATGGCTCAGTGGTTGATTGTTGACCTATGGAACTGTGAGGTCAAGGTTCAATTCCCGGTCAGGGCACATGCTAGGGTTGTGGGCTTGATCCCTAGGGTGGAGCATGCATGAGGCAGCCTATAAGTGATTTTCTCTCATCATTGATGTTTCTAGCTCTCTCTCTCTCCCTTCTTCTCTCTGAAACACACACACACACACACACACTCTGAGTGGCCAGATTATTATGATCTCTTTTTTTAAAAATATATTTTATTGATTTTGTACAGAGAGGAATGGAGAGAGATAGAAAGCTAGAAACATCGATGAGAGAGAGTCATCGATCAGCTGCCTCTTGCACACCCCCTACTGGGGATATGCCCGCAACCAAGGTACATGCCTTTGACCAGAATCGAACCCGGGTCCCTTCAGTCCCCAAGCCGACGCTCTATCCACTGAGCCAAACCGGTCTCGGCTCTGAACGCAATGTATATCCTATATAATAAAAGGCTAATTATGCAAATTTTCCCTTGGACTAGGAGTTCAACCAGCAGGCAGTCTGTCCAACTGCCCATGTCTCCTCCCCTTGGCCAGGCTGGCAGGACCCCACCCATGCACGAATTCATGCACTGAGCCTCAAATATAAATACAAATACACACACACACACACACACACACACGCACACACACACTCTGAGTGGCCAGATTATTATGCATTCAGAGATCATAATAATCTGGCCACTCAGTGTGTGTGTGTGTGTGTGTGTGTGTGTGTGTGTGTGTGTATATATATATATATATATATATATATATATATATATATATATATAATTTAAAAAGCAGTGTGGCTAGAGCTTAGTAAGAGATGCTATCAGAAAGGAGCAGATCACAAAGGGCTTTCTATGCTAAAACATAAAAACTTAGATTTTTACTCTGATAGAAATGACAAACCGAGATCCAAGATAGTGGCAGATAGGGGGAAGTTACTTTCAGTTCCTCCCAGGACCAAATTGGAATTAAAACTAAAATATGAAACAATCAATTTAAATAATCAACTGAAGACTAGCTTAACAGAAGTCTTATAACCAATGATTTAAAGAAGAAGCCAAATCAAGACTAGTAGGAAGGGTGGTATCATGAAAAGGGCTGGCTCTACACTCATGTGCAGTGGCTAATAATCCAACAGGATATCTCAGCTGCAAAGGTTTCCACTGGGAGCCTGAGGTCTCAACCCCAAACCAGGCTTCCCTGCCTGGAGCGCCAGAATTGGGACGTGGAGCCTATATAACACCTGGCTGTGAAAATCAGCCACGTTTCTGTCCACCAGGGAGATACAGGATCTGCTAGAAGCCCAGACACCCTCCTAATGGGTCAGTGCACAGGCCTCATTGGCAGCCACTCACCCTGGCTCCAGCGGAGGGAGGGAGACTCAAAGCAGAGTGGAGTTGTGTGAGAAGACTGGATTGTGTGGCTCCGGGGAGAAGTGAAGGGACAACCACCTCCAAATGCAATGGTCTGACTCCTTGTCACGTTGCCCTCCAGAGCTCATGCCCTGAGAAGTTAGCTGTCTGGGCCCAGGGTATAGAGGTCTGTGTGGACTCACGGGGTGTCAGAAACTGAAATGTGTGGTTCTGGGGTGGAGACCATTCCATAGCCTTCCCACTAGCCTGACCAGTGTCACCACTTCATGGGACATACACTATCCCCACCCTCCTGACTTCTGGCTGCCAAACTCCAACTCTCCAGGAGTTTTGGGTAGAATATCAGAAGGAATGACTTGTGTGGCTCCAGGTCAAGGGCCATTTATCCCTCACATGTCCAACCAGTGTAGAGCGCTCACTTCCCATGGTCAAATCTTGGTCTGTTTGGGTCTGATTAACTCTGCTGGGCTCCAGCAGCGGACTGGAATCCTACAGGGAGAGATTGAGTAGTGTGGCTCTTGGGAAAGGCCAGGAAGGACAGCCACCAAGGTCTCTGTGCTGAGTTCTTCTCCCACACCACTCACAGATGCCATCTTTCCTGGGCTGAGCACTCCCATCCATACTGCATCAGCTTAAGTCTGTGGTTGGCAAACTGTGGCTTGCGAGCCACATATGGCTCTTTGGCCCCTTGAGTGTGGCTCTTGCACAAAACACCACAGCCTGTGCGAGTCTATTTTGAAGAAGTGGCATTAGAAGAAGTTTAAGTTTAAAAAATGTGGTTCTCAAAAGAAATTTCAATCATTGTACTGCTGATATTTGGCTCTGTTGATTAATGAGTTTGCCGACCACTGGCTTAGGGAAATGCACCAGCCTCACCCTCCAGACTCCCTGTGGCCCCACTCTGTTGAGCTCTCAACTTTTGGAGGAATCTGTTGCCTCTGGCCAGACTGGTCCCATGGTGCAGACCTTCTTGGAAGGCTCTCAGGGGGTCCAGGCAGACTACAAGTGACAGAGATGAAGAGAGAAAGGCTTAATTGTGTGGTTCTAGAGAAGGGGCCATTTCCCTCACTTGTCTAACCAGCACTACTATTCCCGTAAAGAGCCCTCACTCCATACATCCAAATCTTTTAGCCTGATGAACTCTGCTGTCCTCCCCCTCCCCCCCATCAACCCCTTGAGACCCTGCCCTACCTACCTCAAAGGTCTGTGTGTTCACCCAGTGGGTGACAGCTGGCCTTGGTGTGCCCTGGGACTTTTGCTGAGTGGCCTCAGGCTTAGCACTGGTACTGAGTTTGAATCTGTATCAATCTGGTGAACACCACTCACGCCTACCTGGTGACTCACTGAGAACCTATCTCATGCAACTCACATACCACCAAAGGCCCTTTTAGTGACTGAGCCTAACAGGCAACTGGTAGGTGGAGGCAGGTGGAGGTGAATCACGAGGTGCTTTAGACATGTTGCTGACCTGCTACTGGGCTCCGTGCTGGTGAGAATGTTGCAGATCTTTTTTTACATGAAAGGAGATGAGCACTGTTACATACACTTTATTTAGTATCCTGTAAGAGAGAAGCAAGGGTTTAAAGAATTAGGGGTTTGAAAAGCATTGACAACTGTGGCCCTTGGTGAGAAACAATAATGTCAAGCAGGATATGGCCAATCTCATCAGTGCACCTACTGTAATGAGTATGGCTTGTGGTACTGGGAGACAGGCAGGTCAGGTTGAGGTCAAGTTTATGTCAAACAAGGGTGGTCTAGGGTCAAGAGTATGTGGAGCTTCCCTTTTGGTTTTCCTGGTGTGTCCTTGTCTGCAGTGAACAGACCTCATGTTTATGCATGCCACAAGACCCAATGTCAAATGTAGTGCCACAAAATGTCGTTAAGTGACTTATTCCATGAGTCACAGAGGCACAATGAGATGGTATTATGGTACAGGCCGAGAATTTGGGCTTCGAGTTGGCAACGTAGGTATACTTCCACCAGGACCTACAACGGGCAACTTAAGTATACTTCTTTCAGTATACTTAAATATACTCACATGAAGGCACCTTAGAGCAAGTGGCCACACACTCTGTTCATTTGGTAAGTCTGCTGAGCACAGGTGTTGGTCTGTTGTTGCTTCTGGATGAAGCCTACTGACCCTGGTGCCCACTGGAGGGGACACCCTTATACCCTAGAGAGAATGACTTTACAGCAGGGACCACTGACCTGTACTTTGAGAGTGGCCTTTGGCTACTGAGGACTTGTAGTATACGTATGTACAAGGCACCCCATCACCCATGTGGGGTCTCCTGTACTGTTGTGTTGGAGAAGACCCTTTTTAAGATGCATAAACGCTGTGGGATAAGTTGTGATATAAATGAAGAGCACTCCTAAGTGCCTTGGGATCATTATGAAATCTGGGCAGCTGTGACGCCTAGTTAGAAAAAAAAAAAAGTTCCAATAGAAGCTCACGTGTTAGTGCCTTTTAGTAATAACTGAACTAAGGCTTTATCTGTGCATGTATATGCTTTCCAGGAAGAGTAAGTGGATCAAGACAAGGCTAGCAACTGAACTTTTGTGTTCTGTTAGCTGGTTTATCAGTTGGTATCCTTAATATGAAGGGAGGCAGCTTCTTTCCTCAGGGTCATACTTACCATATATATTGTCTACTTGTGCACCATTATCTTTTCCAATGACACACCATGGTGCTCCTAGAATTTCTGATTGAAGGACAGACTTTATGAAGGCCAGGTATTGCAACCCAAGGAGGATTTCCATCAGTGTCTAGGTGGAAGGTTGTAAGCACTGCTAAAACCAAAATAGAAACTATCAGAAATAGTCCAAGGATGACCTACTAATATGAAAAGATAAGATTATGGTCAGGAGACAAAGGTTACCATGAGTGTTCAATATGAAGGATGAGGAAAAGGTTCCAACCAGAGAAACAAGAGAGTTTCTGGAGAGTCAAGTGGGAGAATGGCCAGTGTTAGTCAAATGGAATGATTTATGATTTCCCTGTGAATGGCCACTTATGCACCAGGACTCACTTTTTTATGGCTTGAAGTACACGATGAAGAAGTGGGTATATGTGATTCAAGGAGACAAACTAGTCTAGTTGAGTGGGGGGCTCTCAATGTTCTGACCATGGTATTGTTCATAATACTTTACTTAGAATGTTCTCTTTATGTAAAATCTCTATGGACTTTTCAAAGGTCATTTCAAGTACTATTCATTGAAAGAAGCCTTCCTTACCTCACCTGGACTCCATAGATTTTTGTCTTTCCTGACGATCAACAACACATACTGTTGGAACCAAACATGAGGGTATTATCTTGACTGAATTGACCTAACTGATTCAGGAATGTAAGCTTTGGTTCTCCAGATGGGCTGTAAATTCCATGAGATCACAGAACGAATTTCTTTGTAATCCCCACAGTGCCAAACATATACTAAAGACTCAATGCGTTTTTATGTTAATTAAATTAAATCAAGACCCAAAAATCATTGATTACAAAATATTCACAAACACTTGGGCAATGGCCACAGCTAGAAATTCTAGTTGGAGTAGGTAATCACATGTGTCAACGTCAATCTCTTCATGTTTACTACAAAGAAATATCCTCTTTAGAGTCTACAAGCCAAAAAACTAGGCATTTTGATTCCTGAATGACTGGCAGTGACATTTGAGGAGAATGACTACATTAGGGATTGGGAAAAATGACGACTCTGACTCTCCTTTTTCTGCAGCATAAGAATCATGCTAAGAAATTGAAACCACAAATGTCTATGTTTTTCTTTCAATAGTAAAACAAATTATCCAACTGGTATGGGGTCACTAAAAGACTGAAATCTGCCTGGCCAGGCATGGCTCAGTGGTTGAGTGTGGACCTATGAACCAGGAGTCACGGTTTGATTCCCGGTCAGGGCACATGCCCAGGTTGCGGGCTCCATCCCTGTGTGGGGTGTGAAGGAGGCAGCCAATCAATGACTCTCTCATCATTGATGTTTCTATCTCTCTCCATTTCTCTCTGAAATCAATAAAAATATATTAAGAAAAGAAAAATGACATATAAGAAGGCATAAAATCAGTAAGAACATAGCTGAATTCAACAACACCATCAATCAATTGTATATAATTGAAATCTATAGTCTCTTTCATCCCAAAATAGCAGAATATATACTTTTCTCAAGCTCACATGAATCATCCACCAAGATAGATCAAATTCTGGATCATAAAACACACCTTAACAATTTAAAAGAATAGGAACCATATAATATGTACAGAAATATAACTTGAGATCCCAAAATATGTGGAGGTTAAAAAACACACTCCTAAATAACCCATGGTCAAAGCAAAAAAAAAAAAAAAAACTCAAGAGAAACTGCTTTGAAATAAATAAAAGAAAAATGGTTTATCAAAAATTGTGGGATGTAGCCATTTCAGTGCTTAGCGGGAAGTTTGCAGCATTGAATGCATATATTAGAAAAGAAAACAAGGCCTAAAATCATTACTCTAAGTCACAAAAGACCACATATTGTATGATTGCATTTGTATAAAATGTTCAGAATAGGCAAATCCATAGGCACAGAAAGCAGATTAGTGGTTGCCAGGGGCTGGGAGAGGTAACAGGGATTAACTGCAAATGGGTAAGAGAGAGATGTCATTGCGGTGATGGAAATGTCTAAAACTGTAGTCATGGTTGCACCACTCAACAAATTTACTAAAAATCCTTAACGTGTACATTTAAAATGAGTCCATTTTATGGTATGTATATTATATCTTAATACACAATTTTAAAAACACCTTAGAAAGCAGAGGAAAAAGAGTTTGTCTCTTAGACATTATATTAGGAATAATACAGAGCTCATTAGGCTCTTGTATGTTGTTGCTGCTACTGTGGTGATGGTAGAAGTGGTGGTTTTCCCATTAAGACTGAGGGTCCGGCAATAATTTAGATCTTCTAAAATAAAGATTTAAAAATCACTAAATACCCTGGCCAGTGTGGCTCAGTCCTCCCATGCACCCATGCACCGAGAGGTCACTGGTTCCATGGTACATGCATGGGTTGTGGGCCCAATACCCAGTAGGGGGCGTGCAAGAGACAGCTGATTGATGTTTCTCTCTCATCAATGTTTTTCTCTCTCCCTCTCCCAAAAAAACATTTTTTTAAAAATCACTAAAATAGAACTATTCTGGCTTGAAATCTGGAGTAGCAGTGGGGGGCAAACAGAAGTGGGTGGGATTTAAAAATATCCAGGAGGCAGCAGGGACAAGATTTTGCACCAATTAGATTCAAGGAATGGGGAAGAGTGAGGATGCCTCCGACTCAGCATGCTGAACATTGAATTTTTGTTGTCTTTCCAAACTTACTGGCCCCCGTGCTGCCAATCGCCGTGAGTGGATCAGCATCCTGGCACAGAGCAAGCACTTATTGATTGCCTTTGGAATGAAAGAATGAATGAACAGAGTAAAAATATGACCAGAGCATCCACCAGGTCTTGCCAAACATCCAGTCCTAGACTCATCCTCCAGGATGACTCAGCAGACGTCTGCCACAATTTCCCTCTCATTTATCAACCGTCTGGGGAATCATCAGGTCCCGTGTCCTGAAGGACACCCACCTGCACATCGCCCCCCCCCCTCGTACTTACACAGAGCCTGCCAGCGTGCCCTCATGGGGTATGTCAAGAGCCTATTCTGTGAATTCTTCACATGAGGTCCATGGCAGGTGCATGTAGAACCCATGTGAGCATGGAAATAGCCCATGTTGAAGAAAGAGGGTCACCAAGGTGTCCAACTGGTGGGTCTATGTTCCCTTGGGCTCTGACCAGAAAGAGACTCTTCCTACAAAAAGGTGTATTCCTCCAGCACCACCCCCTTCCTGGCAGGCAGAACACGCAGCTGCTAGAAACACTGCAGTCGCTGAGTGATGTTTGGATATTTTACTGCTGTTCCCAGGGTTGCCAAGCAGAGATACACAACTGCCTGTGGTTCCCATCACAGATGCCAAAGCTCGGAAGTGATTCGTCTCAGTCCACACTTGCCAGATCAAGAATGCAGTGGGACACTCAAAAGATGCCCAGACTCAACCACCCCAGTGAATATTCCCTTCATCGCACTGGTTATGAAATAAAGTATAACCTTCTTATGTGTGGTGGTCAATAAACACACCCACCTCTCATTTGGAAGATTATAGTGCTTTGCATAATACATGGTTGTCATTCTCATTCTCACCAGTTCCTTAATGCAGAGGCTCAGATTGACACCACAATGTTGGTTCATCGTGGTTATAATTCTTCTTTGCCTTTACAGTTAAGTTCATGTAAAATAAATTGTGTGTAATTTTTTTCCTACCGTGTTCCCTGAAAGAGCAACACCAAGCGAAGAAGTGACTCTAAAAATTGCTGTATGGGAATGGATTATGGAAGTATTCCTACATGTGAGAGCTAAGGTTTTCTTTCAACGATTGGGTGTACATCCTAAAGTGACACAGGTCTTTGCTGATGGGACTTGTTAAGTAGTGTATTCTGTTCATTGAACACAAAACATTTGGGTCCAACAATCATCCAGTTAAAATCTTTAATAGTAAAGCATTCTTCCGCGTTTGGCATTCAAACTAAGCATTGAATGGATGTTTCCAGCTTTCAGGGCAGTCAGTAGTATTAAAAAGGCTTTTCAGAGTTGTTTTCATTAGAGAGAGAACTTCCTCGCCTAGCTTCCGCCAAAGCCTTGCCCTGCCACTCCTGACTTGCAAGGAATCCTCGCTCAGGAGGGGCAGACAAAGGGTAAAATCTGGGCAGAGAACATTGGTGGATATTAGAACGAGAGAAAAAATCAGTGCTGCAAGGTCTTGCAGGCAGCCACCTTCCTCTCCATCGCCACAGCAGAGCGAGGCAGAGAGAGAGGGAGGGCAGGGACTGGCTGGAAGCTAGACGCCAAATCAGTTTCAGATCCGGGACTGGGAAGTCCGATCGAGTTTAAAACAATGTATACTGGGCGTAAGTCCCAAGGCGGGCTCGCTCCAGATCTTGCAGCTGTTTTCCAGCGTTAGGCCCATCTGGCCCCGCGCTGATCTCCGGGCGGACTCTTTGTCGCGCGCAACTGGCACGAATCGTGACGACGACGGCCCTGCAGCAAGGCGCGAGTGGCCTCTTTCTCCGCGAGGGTGAAGGTGAGTACCACCGCCCACCCACGGGCCCCAGCCGCCGGGGTGGGAGCCCCCGCGCCATCCCGCACTGCGCCAGGCCTGCATGCAAGCGCCGGGCAGCAGACCCCACCCATCGCACCCACCCGGGGGGCACCCCTTCCCGGATCCACGGGGCGGGACCCACCTGTGCTGGAGATCGCGACTCCCGATTCAGCCGAGCGGAAGGAATTGCAAGTAAGGAGAGCCTGGGGAGGCAGTCTGGCGCCCGCCCGCCTTTTGCTTTTTGCCTAAAAAAACAGTCGGCCCCACGCTGGCTTCCCCGAGCGGGTTCGGGCCCAGCTGGGAGCCTGGAGGCCCCGCCCCGCTCCTTCCGGCCGTGCAGGGTGGGCTCCACGCGTGCCCGGGACTTGGCCCACGGAGGCGGCGGAGCAGCCGAGCCTCCGATCCAGGAGGATGGGGATGGGGCGCGCGTGGGTGTGGAAAAGATCTTGGAGCCACAGGCTCGGGGAGAATAGGCGGACCCGTGCAACTACGCCGCATGGAAAACGCGGGGCGCCTTGCCTGCCTTTTCAATGCGCCTACCTCGTCTCTCCACTCGGCTCCTATTCATGGTGGCTGAGCAGGGTTTGCGGGATCGAAAAATCCTTTCACTATCCTTCCAGCACTTTCTTGAACCTACGTCACGTATTACTCAATGCGGGACTCCCAGTAATTCAATTGAGCACCCTGAATTCAGGCTGCAGGCATAGCGCGAACTACAGTGAGTACTGGAGGGAAGTAACCATTAAGAATGCATGTTTTGTGCGCGGAAAAAATGAAGGAACAATACGGATGACAAAGGAGGACCAAAAGGGGCACCGAATTAGCAAGCGCAGGGGCAATCCAGGGCAGAGGGAAACATGGAGAGCAAGAACAAACAATAGACATAATCTATAGAGACACTGGAAAATGGAAAATAGTTATTAGAGATGCAAAATATTAGGCTAATGTCTCAGGGGTAACAATCTGTAAAAGTTAGGATCAACAAAAGAAGAAAAAGCATTCATACTTTGCCCTGACTTGCCTATTGGAAAAACTGCTTCTCCTTATTTTTTACTCAGTTTACATGTTGCTTCATCTGTGAAGCCTTTCCTATATTTTCTCAAGTAACTGTATTTTCTCATTTTCCATGGATCCATTATGCCCAGTGAGTCCAGGCTAGGCCTTCAGGATACCACATCATTCTAGATTGTAGCCTTTGTCTTTGAATGCTTGTGTCCTTCAATGAGCTAGTAGCTTTTTGAGACAGAAAAGGTGTATTTTATTTTTATTTCTTAAAAATTAATTTCTTTATTGATTAAGGTATCACATATTTGTCCTCAACCCCCCATTCCAACCTCCCAACCCCCTCATGCCCTCACAATTTAAAAAAATACATTTTTACTGATTTCAGAGAGGAAAAGAGAGGGGGAGAGAGACAGAAAACATCAATGATGAAAGAGAATCATTGATTCGCTGCCTCCCGCATGCCCCCCACTGGGGACTGAGCCTGCAGCCCAGGCATGTGCCCTGAATCAAACCATGATTGATCTCTTGGTTCATAGGTTGACACTCAACCACTGAGCCACACTGGCTGGGTGAAAGTTTTTATTTTAAAAATTTATTTTCCAAGACCCTAGCCCAGAACCTAACATATAGCATTTGTTTATTTATTGAAAATTGTCTAGAACCGGTAAGTAGACAGAAAAAAAGCTGTAGCTAGGATGTGAACTAATATGCAGAGCAATATCTGAATAAGGTGAGCTACTAGGCTAACTCAGGTTGGTTTTTACGCAACCAACGTTCATGAGGGCCTACTGTGCACCAAGTGCCATATTAAGCTCTGGGTGTACAATGGCAAATAAAAATAGGTAGAGTCCTCACCCTTTTGGAGTTTAAAGAACACATAAGAATTGGCCAGGCAAACAGGAAAAGGAACATTCCAGACACAGTGAACAGCATAATCAAAGTTCCTGTAATAGGAAGGAGCATGACAGTAGCAATTAAAGTGAAGACAATCAATAGGCGTAAGGTGAAATTAACAGATAGAAACTACCCAGAAAGAGGCAAGAGATTAATAGAGGCCTGTTTAATAGTTGGGAAAAGAAACCAGTTTTCTTCACAATAACGCTGGGCTAAGTATTTTATAATATACACTGAAGGTAGATAATATTATTATTCCTGCTTTAAGGATAGGGAAACTGGGGGATGAAGAAGTTAAGCAATTTCGCCAGGATCACACAGCACTTAAGTTTCAGGGCTGAGATTCAAACCTAGGTAATTTGGCACCAGACCCAAGGGCAGGAACTGTAATAAAAGCACAAGTAAAAACTACAAAGAACTCTTTCACAAAATATGATCATTGTTCCCAGATATTTAGCATCTATGAGAAACAATACCCTGGACTCGAGCATTAATGCTCTAGACATAAGACTTTGGCATACGCATTGGTTGGTATTGGCGCCTTCGGTAGGTGATACCATCAAGCAGCAATCTTAACATTAGCCATCAGCAGCAAGCCAGAGCAGAGGAGGAAGAAAATAGCAGATGCCCTGAGCACTGCTTTGTGGAGCACACAGGAGAACTTGAGCAGAGGACTTCACCTCTCTGACCCTGAATTTCCTATTTCACAAACGGGCATAGTAATATTTATATCACTGCGAGAGGCCCGATGCACGAAATTTGTGTTTCAGCCCTCGCAGCCCCAACTTCGTCTGGAAGGTCATCCGGCTGTCTGGTCTAATTAGAATATTATGCTTTTATTATAGTAGATGTGTGTTAAGCACCTTGCTATATCTTACACCCAGTAAATGCTCAATGAGTATTAGCAGTGATAAAGATGATTGTTACTATCATATGATATAGTTTAGCGACTGAAGGAGGGGAGGCATGACCAACCAGGGAAGATGTGGTTCGGCTATAATTTGAGGAAGATTACAAGTAATATCAGATGCTGACTAGGTGGTAAAAGAAAAGTTTATTGCCTCTTCTCTATCAATTGCATCCTCCCCCCTCATTTTTATTTTATCTCTTTATTTCTTTATTTTTAATTAATTTTTTACAGAGAGGAAGAGAGAGGGATAGAGAGTTAGAAACATCGATGACAGACATCGATCAGCTTCCTCTTGCACACCCCCTACTGGGGATGTGCCTGCAACCAAGGTACATGCCCTTGACCGGAATCGAACTCAGGACCTTTCAGTCCGCAGACCGATGCTCTATCCACTGAGCCAAACCGGTTTAGGCTCCCCCCCCCCCCATTTTTAGTTAGCACTTAGTATTTTGTGTTGGAATTGTTTACTATAGTAGGTTCCCCTTATTAGGATTTGCGTGTGTGTGTGTGTGTGTGTGTGTGTGTGTGTGTGTAGCAGCTAACAGTGTCTGGCACACAGTGGGAACTTAAAGAATATTCACTGAATGAGTGAATTAATATCCAAATAATTATCAATAGTTATAAATGTGCTACAAAATAAGGGGAGAAATGATAGTATCTGGGTCCGTTTATGGCCTTTCTGTGTTTCTAGAACACATCAGGCTTATTCCTGCTCTTCTTCCAATAATATAATCTGCTCATCTATTTGTCTCCACTTCCCTGATAGCACTAGGTACCAAGAGTTGGTATTTTTTTCTATAAAGGGTCAGATAATAAATACTTCAGGCTTTGTGGGGTGCATACATTCTCTGTCTGCTACTACTTAGTTCTACCTTTAATGAGCAAAAGCAGCTGCAGTCAACACTTAAACGAGAGTGTGAATGTGTTCCAATAAAACTTTATTGACAAAAAGAGGTAAGAGGCAGAATTTGGCCTGTGGGCTTATAATTTGACAACCCCTGCTCTAGACCAAATTAGCACCGTCTCTTGCATGGACTATTGTATACGAATGATGTGTGGCAACTGTCATCTTTGGCCAACATCTGCATCTTGGTTTGCCCAGCATCTTAATGAAGATGCCATGCTCTCTAATCCTGTTCATAACCTTGAGTTGTTGAAAATCAATGAAAGCAGTGTGCTATAATTTTGAATTGTGATTTTTCAAAATGGTCCTTAAAAGAACCAAATAAGGAGCAATCTTTAAAAAGGTTAAAAAAATGAAGGAAATCTTTAAGATTCTCTCTTTGATCTCACTCATCTAGGGGAAATGGTGAACAACATAGACTGATGAACAAGAACAGACCCAGAGATAAGGAGCCCTGGGTCAGACTGTTGGACCTCAAAGGGAGGGTGGGGATAAAAGGGAGAGATCAGCCAAAGGACTTATGTGCATACATATGAGCCTAACCAGTGGTCAAGGAAAATAGGGGGGTGTGGGCATGAGTAGGGTGGGATTGGAATTGGGGGTTGAGGACAAATATGTGATACCTTAATCAATCAATAATTTTTTTAAAAAAAATGAAGGAAAGGAAAAAAAAGAAGATTGATAATAAAATGAACTTTGGTTATGCAACTGAAAGGGACTCTTAGCCAGAAAATAAATATTCTGGATACAACACAATGTTGAATTTGGTGGAGGATTTAATCTATGAAAATTCTACTAACTCTATACAGAAACAAATAAATACCGGCATTTAAAAAAATCATCTAGACCATGCAAAATTTTCCTCATCTACCGATGGACAAAAATGTGTTAAAGGCTGAAAGTGTATTAATTTGTGTCTGAGGATATGAGCAGGATGTGAGCATTTCTGACTCTCAACAGAAATATGATTCATCACAAACTCAGCATCATTCTGCATTCAGAGTGATGATGATGCTGTATGTCTTGATTGTGATGTTGGTCCCACAGTGCGTAGATTTGTCAAATTCATTGACCTGTGCAGTTAAGATTTGTATATTTAACTGTGTATAAAATAACTGATAAAGATTAAGTTGGAAGAAAGGATATTTGGAAGCTAACAGCATCATCATAAGGCCTAGAGAACGAGGCATGGGGCTGTTTCCAGGTTCAACAACCAAAAATTCACTGCACAACTGGTGTGGTAAGGAGGCCTCTTTTGATATCACAAAACACTAGGTACCACTATTTATACCACTGCTACTGCTGCAACAGAAACTTTCCTGTAGTCAGTAATGTTGATGGCTGCCACTTCTATACTGGACACTCAATCTGGCAACTGTCATGGCTGCTCACAGAGAAATTATGAATGTAAGCATGTACAAACAACTAAATTTTGTGATCAAACTCTGCCATAGTCATTATTGTCAGTTTAGTTATTCTCCTGACATTATGTCTACAAATGATGTATTAGAGAATTGTACCCCTGAAACCTATAAATGTTATTAACCTATGTCACCCCAATACATTTTTAAAAACTAAAAAAAGGAAGTAATATAATTGACATTTGGAGATGAAAAGATTTTGACACTGAAGCCCCTTGGGCAATCACTTGTAGCCAGAGTCTACAATGGACTTATATAAAAGAAAATGAATTAATAATGATATCTGAAGAGGAAGAGACACGCAAAGTGAGTTTGGAAAAGTAAATAGTTTTTAACCTTTATTTTAGAAGATTTATTCCATGCATGTCCTGTATTATAAATGACTTTAAAT